TTCGGGTCCCATGTGCATTCATGGGACACGCAGCTCCCGCCTTTAGAAGCATGTGTGATTAGTCATGGAATAGCACTGACATAGTCATAAAGTTGAGTTGAAATATGCCTCTCAGTACCTTCCACTTATTGGCCTATTTCAACTCCACGTGCTGTATAGTCCAAAATCCAAAAAGCTCTAAAAATCTGAAAGTTGTTATAATGCACATGACAGCAAAAGCTGAGTTGAAAGGGCGTTTGTGTGTGTGTGTAGTCTTTAGCTCTCCCACTCAGCGTGAGTGTGTTGGGCTGCAGAAATACTTCTGTGCTTGATTATAGGGTGTTATTTCAAACCCCACTGAGAGTGTTATGTAATATAAGGCATGTGGAGGGTATTATTCAGGTGAGCCATATGTTATTATTATTATTGTAGGTCAAAGCTGAGCAGATAATGGTGATTTCATATAGCTAAACTTCATGCTTTTCCAAAACCTGGCACCAAAGATTTTGACTTAAGAAATTAAGGACCTGTAATCAAGAAGAATCTTCAGTTTAGAGTAATATGTGATGGTTGCTCTGTCAAGAAAGATTCTCAGTTTAATTTTCCACTCAAGCCTCTGCCTGGGACCTCAGACTTACCATCCACTGCCTCCTTGTAATGTCACCTCTGCTTGGTTGTCTAAAAGTCACATTAAATGGTGCGCATCTTGATCTGAGCTCTCACGCTTCCTTTCCTATCTCCACCAGTAGCGTCTCAATCCTTCCAATGTTCCAACCAAGGACCTTGGACCCAGACTTTTTTCTTCTCTTTGTCTCTCACCCTACATCCAACTGGATGAGAAGTTATATCTGCTGTACTTCAAAATATATATGGAACCCACCATTTCTGGTGACCCTCACTGTCACCACCCTGTTCAATCCACTATCTTGCCTCACCTAGATTGTTGCAATAGTTTCCCAACTGGTCTCCCTGATTCCACCCTTCCTTTGAGCTACTCTTGACACAACAACCAGGAAATTTTTATGAAACTAAAGCTGAACCTGCCACTCCTCTGCCCTACATATTCCAGACCTTTCCCACCACATTGAACAAGAGCCAAGTCCTACCCATGCCCAGAAGCCCCTCATGGCCAGCCTTCTCTGATACTGCTCTCACCTCGTTGCCCCTGGTCTCTTCCTCACTCACTGCTCCAGTCTTCCTGGCCACCCTGATGCTCCTGAAACACAGCTGTTCCAAGGCCAGGAGCAGTCTGCTACCAGACACCCATGACTTCCCTTCATCTGAGGTCTTTATCCAAGCATCTGGTCTCAGCAAAGGAGGGTTTTTATCACCACCCGACATTAAACTATAATTAAAGAAACTGCCTATCTCCCTTTCTGGGTTTTTTTTTCCCTAAAGCTCCAAGAGCATCTAATATGCTTAACTTATTTCTTTTATTTACTGGCCATCTCACTCCACTAGAACATCAGCTTCATGACAACAGGGATTGCTGTCTGTTCTTGTCACTGCTTTACTCCCAGGACCCAGAACACTCTCTTGCACATGGCTGGCACTCAGGGACAATAACTCATTATTTTTCGATAAGTGACTTACCTGCTGCCTTGGAATCCACTGAGAGAGAATCAAGAAGGAAACGAGAAGTGATTTTAGCAGCCCAAACAGATGTCTGTATCATCAAACAGAAGGCAAATGAGTGCATGAAGAGATGTTCAACATTGTTAGCCGTCAGGGAAATGCAAAGTAGAACCACAGTGAGATAGCACCAGACACCTACCAGAATGGCTAAAAGGAGAAATCGTGATAACACCAAATGCTGGAGAGAGAGTGCAGAGAAGGATGTTGGCTCTTTCACACATTGCTGGTGGGAAGCAAAATGATACCAACACTCTAGAAAAGAGGGTATGAGAGTTCCTTACAAAACTAAACAGATGCCTACTGTTATGACCCAGCAATTTCGCTCTGGGCATTTATACCAGAAATGAGATGAAGCCATATTCACACAAAAACCTGTACACCAATATTCATGGCAGCTTTGTTAATAAATAAGTCAATCCTGGAAATAACCCAAAAGTCCTTCAGTGGGCGACTGGCGAAACAAACCATGCTACATTCCTACCATGAAATACCACGTGGCCATCAAAAGAAATGAACCATTGATCATGCAATGATTTGGATGGACCTCAAGGAAATTGTGCTGAGTGGGAAAAAACCCCATCTCAAAAGTATACAGACTACATGATTCCATTTATATAACATTTATGAAATAACATGATTATTGAGTTGGATGGCAGACTCGTGGCTGCCAGAGATTAAAAGAGGAGGAGGGTGGTAGCAGTGGCTGTACATCATAGCATGGGGGGTCCTGGAGAGGGCGTTTTGCTGGGTCTTCACTATGGTGACCATCACACACATCTGCACGTGTGTCAAACTACACAGAAACTAAAATATGGAAACCAACTTGACAATAAACTATATATTAAAAAAAAAAAAGAAACTAAATAGGTCTACACAAATGCATAGAATCTGAATATAAATGTCAATGTCAATTTCCTGGTAGTGATGTTATGCTCTGGTTATGTAAGATGTTGCCTTTGGGGAAAACTGAGTCAAGGGCATGCAGGATCTCTCTGTTTTGTTTCTTGCCACTACATGTAAATCTATGTCTACAACCGCCTCAAACAGATGTCCATAGGTCCAGGCCCTAACACTCTTGTTCTCTTCTCAGAGGACATTCCCTGGGGCACAAACTCAGAATCCATTGAATCTTACTTTAAACAGATGTATCACAAGCTTAGTTACTGGTTTTGTAGATAGCCAGGTACAGTAACGTGAGGCGGGTCTGCTAGAGTTCTCAAGGTCACACAGCTGAGGGACTAAAACCCACACCTTCAGATCCTCGGTCTGGTGTTTGTAGTCTTCCTCACCTTTTCAGGCCTTTTGATCTTGTGGGTGAGAGTACATACTTCTTCCTGTGAACCCATACAGTTAACACTTTTAAGACCCTGGTCTGATTAAGCATACCAAGTTTCTAAAAAAGAAATACAAGAATAAGAACACATTTGTAAACTCCTCCAAGATGATCCAGTAGTAAGTGTGATTGTGTGTTTAAAGTTACAATGGGAAAGATTTAAGTTGGTCTCAAAGAAAATTTTCTTACTTGGTTTGCTAAGCCAAGAATGGGTAATTAAGGGACATAAAAATCATCCATTGCTGGGATTCTTTGGAAATGTGTCAGATGTTTATGTCAATAGATGTCAGTTATGACCATTATTACATTAGGAGCTACAGCCATAGGGAAGGGATGTGTCCTGGTGCCTACCCTCCTATATCTGATGATTTAATGGGGGTGATGGAAAAGTAGTCAACCATAGTTTACTATGAAATATTCTATGATAAGAGAAGAATAGGAAGCTATAAAGACATAGATGAACACCCGATCTTGGAGGCAAGGGATGCAGGAAAAGGTTTTAATACAAAGTGTAAATAGGGAGCATGGTTATGTGAAGGGACAAGATTGGAAGCTGTCACAGTGGAGGGAAGAACAAGTGCTACAGTGCCCTAACCCATCATGCATTTGGGAGAACTGCAGCTTGGGGAAAATAGTAAGAGATGAGGCTGGACATTGGTGAGGGGTAATGGTGGGCAGGTCATGAAACACCTTTGCAAGTAGCCCACAAGGATCATGCTGTGAAATAAACAGAAGTAGCATCTGAATGGAGGTGCTAGGCAGGCTGGTTTCCACCACTTGCCACAGGACATCCTTAAGCTTTCCTATTTCTATTACCCATCTTTCTTCAGAGTTTTCTACTCTTCTCCAATGTCACGTCCCTTAAGCTTCAAGGCCTAGTTCTAACACCAGCCTTTTCTCCAGAAGCTCCCCCAACCCCTAACTGGAAGGATGGCCTCTTGTTGGGCACACTGGGCGTGGGTATCTGTGTACGTGCACACGTGCAGTATAGCACCATGATTACGACATTTTGGGGCCAGCCTACCTGAGTCGCCATCCTATGCTTCCATTTCCTTATCTGTCAAGTGGTAATCATAACATGACTAAGTCAAAAGGTTATCTCAGGATCAAATAATTTCATTGATACCTTTAACTCCCTTAGAACAGTGACTGGCACAAAGGAAATGTTTAATAAATGTTCGCCTTTATTACATGTTGTGGGCCCCATACACACCCAACCGTGGGCTTGCCTATCTATCACTTGTGCTCAATCAACTTGGAACTAATCAGAGAAGAGAGAAGTCAATGTCCTCTCCTGGTGGGCAGTCACCTTTATGACCTCATACTCTTTGCTTAGACGACTGGTCAACTCAGGCTAGGTATGCACTTTCCATTCACAGGTGGACGTGTGGTAGAGGCAAGAACCCCAAAGGGTGAGGGGCTAGACCATCTTCCTAATCCCTGGATGACCTAAAGCAAGTGCCTTCACTTTCCAGAACTTCAGTTTTTCTGACTGTGCAAGAAGAATGGGCTCCTGTGAAGCTCAAAACTGCAGACGGCTTGCCAGCACTTTGCACAGTGGTGATGCAAATGCGATTTCTATTTCCCAGTCTGCAAGCCACACCACACATCTCCCCAGCCTTCACTTTCACTTCCAGGAGCGTCGCACTCCCCAGACTGGCATGGCTGGCGGGCCTCCAGCGCTGGGAACAGCTATATTTTAATTCACCCCGCCCACTGCCTTGATGGATTCTTTTTCTCCTCCTCCAGGGACTTTCCTCACTTCCTTCTGTAAACGAAGGAAGAAGCACATGAGCACACTGTATATAAATACTAAATACGCTTGGGAAAGCTTTCTTCTTCTTCTTCTTCTTTTTTTTTTTTTTTCTTAACCCAGACTTGGTTTCTGTTGTAGGCGGTGCATTCCCTCGCAGGGCGGGGCCCAGGGTGTTGTGGAAGGGGGAGGGTAGAGGCCAGGGGGTGGAGTAGGCAGTGATTAATGCACCCACTGTGAGGGCTTGCCTTCTATTTAATGGGGGGTCTCTCTGCCCAGGGGGAGTCAGATCCGGCTCCAGGACGAGCAGGAGCATGGCAGAGAATCTGGGGCTGGGCTTCGGGGAAATGGCCAGTGTGGAAATGCTGCCTGAGGAAGGCAGCTACACGCCCAAGGCCAGAGCCAGGCTGGCAGCCAGGAGCGGCGCAGGCTGGCCTCTCACTTGCTGCCTGGTGTCGCTCCCCATCCTGGCAGGACTCACCACCTATCTGCTTGTGGGCCAGCTCCGGGCCCAGGGAGACACCTGTGTGTTCCAGGTAAGCAGTTTCTACCCTCATCCGCTGACCTGATGCAGGCACCTGCCAGCCATGGACAGACCCCTTGAACCCCTCTGCCCCCCCGACCCCATCCCCGCTTCCCCGTGCGGAGGGAACAGCATGGGAGGGGCAGAGAGGTCCAATCAGGTGTCTATCCTCAATAATTCCGGGAGTCGAATTGTCCCTCTTTGTTTATACGGGAACAACTTCCAATAACATGGTTTTGGATCATGATAATCATAGTATACTATGATGAATAGTGGGGAATATTCCTTTGATAAAAAAAAAAAACCCACAAAACCTCCTTAAATTACATAACTAACATGTGTCATTGAAGAAAGTTAGAAAACACAGATAAGGAAAAGAAGATAATGATCACTACCCATAATCACATCGAGGTGACCACTATTGATGTTTGGGGTATATGATTCTGTATTTTTTAACAGATTATTTTGAGTCTCCTAATATGTTATGATTTTATTTATTTTTAGTAAGTTCACAGCAGTATGATGGTATAGATGGTTGTATTATATTCTTGTATATTATATGCCTGTGCTATAATCTATTTAATCAACCCCCTTTCTTGGGTTTAGAAATATTCTTTCTCAGTGCTCAAGAAACAACCTCTTTTTTTAATGTTTATTTATTTTTGAGAGAGATAGACAGACAGACAGAGCAGGAGCACGGTAGGAGCAGAGAGAGAGGGAGACCCAGAATCTGAAGCAGTCTCCAGGCTCTGAGCTGTCAGCACAGAGACGGACGTGGGGCTTGAACCCACGATCCGTGAGATCATGACCTGAGCGGAAATCCTGTGCTTAACCGACTGAGCCACCCAGATGCCCCAAGAAAGAACCTCTTGCCTGGTTCTCTATCTCTCACATCTTGCTGGGGGCTCATGGTAGAGGATTTTAGCCAAAAATGAAAATAAGAGGTAGGGAGAGCACTCGTGGCAAGTGGGGTGGGTACCGGTATCAAGGGGAAACTTACAACTCTGGACTAGGAACATCAAAGACCTTAAAGACTAAAGAAAGTGTCATTCAAATCATATCCTTTCATAAAAAAATAAAAAAGTACTCCTGCATAATCTGTGATGACTGATTTCATTTCAGTCAAAAGTATTATATTCCAGAGGAGAAAACAGGCTTTTCAATTCGTTTACCTGGAAATCTGTCTTCTAAGCAATGCTGGCTGGCTTCAGAGCAGGAACACCAGCAGAGAGCTAATATGTAACTCTCACCACCCCCTCGGAGTCAGCAAACAGACCTTGACTCAGGCAGCAGGGCCCACAGTCACATGCCATCGTTCAGAAAGCGTAGAAATATGCAGATAACCTGGAAATGGTGTTCATGTTAGAGAAGAAATTCAAGGCATGGGAGGTCAGGCTGTGACCCCCACGGAGCTGATTCCTACGAAGCCAAACCAGAGCACCTAGTAGGTGTTCTGGGATTCTGTCCTTCTCTAGCCAGAAAGAGACAGTTGTTCCAGAAGGAGGCATTGAGAGACCTCCAATAACCCGAACTCTCCGGAGTTCTACAAGGAAACAGTGCCTCTGCCTAAAATGATGCCTTGAGGTCCCCTATTTTGGCAGATGCTGAAGAGCACCTTTGTTGCTCTAGAAGCACCTTGGGGTTAGCAACGGTGGGAAGCCAGTCACCACCCCTTGGTGGCGGAACGCCACAGTCCACAGGGGCCACTGACTTGCTCTGTCAGGAAGAGAGCTTGAGACACGAGCTGTCACTGCCCAGGGAGGCCCCCAAGGGAAGGCATGAGTGCCTGTCCTATCACTGGTCCTCAAGAAAGGAAAAGGCTAATATTGCATTCTGTGATACGTAAGCCAATCTCCCTGGAGAGCAGAGACTGTTAGCGCTGTGGTTTGGCCAGGCTATCCAACTTCTTGGTGCGTCAGAAGAAGAGAAAGGGAAATGGGTGAGGCCTGGGCACATGTAGCAATCGGAGTCCTGAAAAGAAACAACTGGCCCATTCAAACAAGAGAGTTTAAAGAAGAATGTTTAAGGAGTTTGGAAAAGTTTCAAAGAAGAGTCTCGTCCCTGAGAAGCAGAAACATTGTGAGGTTAGCAACGATGGGAAGCTGGTCATCGCCTCTTGGCCTGAAGGAGCAAATGGAGGGAGCAGTTTTAGGGGAACCCAAGGAGAATGAAAACATAGGAGAGGGCTGGCTGGAGGAGCTGAGGGCTACGTGGAGCCTGATTTGCCAGACAGCAGGGAGGGAACAGGAAAAAGGGCAGGAGAACTGGTCACTCTCTGCTCCCTGCCTCCCATCCCACTGGCCAGACTGGAAGTCAGGCTCAAAAGATTCAGGAAGCAAGAGTGCCCAGAAGACAGCCTCGTAGGACGCAGGGCAGGTGCGGGAAGGGCAAAGAGGGGGATCCTACTGGGCTAATGGAGAATAATCAGCTCAGGAAAGATGGAAGATAGGGTTCAGGAGGGAAAACGAGGTCACCGGGAAGAGCATGAGTGGGCAGAACTGTGAAATGTCACGGCTCGTAGACACCCAAGTTTGAATTCCAGCTCAGCCACCTCTGGCTGGGGAAGAAAAGGAATGTGGTTTCATTTCTTTGAACTTGTTTCCTTTTCTACCAAAAGAGGATACGGACGTCAACCCTCTGGCAGCACTAATAAGATGATTGCAGGAATGTGGGGAGACACACACACCCTTACTGTGATGGTGATCCCCACAACCGTGCCAGGCACCCGGCAGTTACAGAAAAGCATTAGCGACAGATGTAGGAATGTTCCAGGTTTTTATTAGTAGCAGCAAAGATAGTTACCAAACCTGGTAAAATACATGTATTTTAAACCGGACTCTCCCTGCAGGGGCTACGTAAGGAAAGATCCAAAGTGACAAAATCCTTAACCCAGGTAAATTTGCAGAGCAGAGATCAAAGTCAGATTTGAAAAGATCTGGGATAACTACTTCAGGGGGCGTGTCCACAAATATGACATCAATCGTGTGCTCCATGCAGGGATAAAAACTGCAGTGGCCACTGTTTCTAAAAACTGAAACATCTCAGGGCACCTGGGTGGCTCAGGCAGTTGAACATCTGACTCAGGTAATGGTCTTAACGTTCGTGGGTTCAAACCCTGTGTTGAACTTTGTGCTGTCGGCTCTGAGACTGGAGCCTGTTTCGGATTCTCTCTCCCTCTGTCTCTGCCCCTCCCCACTTGCACTCTCTTCCTCTCTCTCTCTCTCTCTCTCTCTCTTTCTCTCTCTCAAACAAATACACATTAAAAAAAAAATGAAAAAAAATAATGAGACATCTCTCTGTGTAAGGATGGAGAATTTCTCCAAGATGTATCATTAAGTGGGGGGAAATGTACATAGCAATATATAGAATAGGTGGAGACATTCATTTTCAGAAAATATGTATATTCATATTTATGCGTGCGTTTATAAGTGCATAGACCCTCTCGGGAAAAAGATAAGACACTATTAGCTTTAGCAGCATCTAGCTTGAGGACTTGGGCCGCTGGGCAGCAAGTAAGAGAGAGAAGCATTTTTAAACTTACACCCTTTTGTTCAAAATGTATAGAGAGATAGTAAAATGCTTTAGGGCCATTGGATACCTGGAAAATGCCAAGTAGATTTGCATCTTGGAAAAACTCGGTGTAAATTCTTGCCTAGACACCTCTTGGCTGTGTTACCTAACCTCCACGGGCCTCAGGCTCCTTGTGTGGGACATGGGATACTTAGAAATAAAGTATTTAAGGTGTCTGTCAGGAGGTGAGAGATTAGTAAATGGTAGCAATTATTGTTATTATTATTATGACCAGGGAACTTCCTGCTCATGGAAATTGTATCATTCAGGGCAGCTTCCCCGCCCACTCTGGAATCTGCCATCTCCAGGCCAGAGGGCAGGTTTTGACCCTGGAGGAACTTTCTTGTTCGCTGATATTTGTGAGCTATCTCCCTGCCTCCTTCTCCACCCTGGTCTTGCACCCTCAACCCACACTCCGATTCAGTCCTTACCTGGCTGCCTGGACCATGGCCTGGGCTTTCTTGGGCCCTTAGTGGCCTCCATTGCCCTCGGGCTGGGTCTGTGAGCCCCCATGCTGGGCCTCACGTGCCCTGAGGCCAGGCCTCCCTCTTCCCCAGCCACCACTCTGGCACCTACAGGGTCTGTACCCCAGGCCTGGCAGAATGTGCCATGCAGGCTCAGCCCCAGCCCGGCCCCCCCAGGGGGCAAACAGAACTGTGCAATAAATCACCAAGGATGCCATAGAGGTGTTGCTTCTTTGGACGGCAGCCCTGCACTCTCTCTGTCCTTCCCCTCCAGGTTCTCTTCTGGAATCCCCACACAGTCTCCACATTCTTCTTGCTTCCCTACAACCTTCCTTCCACCCCTTCCTGAAAACCCCTGCAAGAGACTCCTAGCCCTTGTTCCCTGCTCGCCTTTCCCCTCCATGCCTGCCCCTGACACACGCCCCAGCTCTGGTCTCCATTCAGACCCACAGGACCTCATGGTAAGGCCAACCGAGGCCTCAGAGTTGCACAGGCTCGAGGGAAATGCCGTGGCTCCACCACATCACATCTGTGAACTCTAACAACTCATTATGCACCAGACACCATCCTAAGCTTCTTCAGATCTAAGGTTTCGAGAAGAGTAAAGGAGATCGTGCCGATACAGCCCTTAGCCTGGTGTCTGGCATGTAAACCGTATGATGCGTTTGCTATTATTACTAAATGCATCATCTCAGTCCTTGTGACTCCACAGCAAGGAAAGAAAGTGCTACTATTATCTCCATTTATCATCATCTCCATCATTTAGAGATGATGAAACTGAGGCTTAGACAATCTAAGCCACAGGCCCACTGGGATTCAGATTCACCATATATGTTCCTTCTAAGCATCACGCTGTTCTACCCGTGGTGTAAACCCAGCAAGGCATTCATTTCGAGGCATGGTCAGGAGGATGTGACAAGGATTCCCTAAAAAATACCTGTCACATAGTAAGTGCTCAATAAATGCTAGTCTCCTTCTT